GGGACTCGTTGCCACAGGGCAGTACTGACACGGGAGGCTTAGCAGGATACACATTTATGCATAATAAAAAAATCATCTGTAGAAAAAAAAACAACCCAACTATTTTTGTCTCCATGTTTCACAACATAAGCTAATTCTATGAAAACAGCCAGAAACTTCCTCCATAAGCAGATTATTGCAAGACTGGTTCTGAGTGACATCTTACGCCTTCCTCTGTGATATCTGGCATGGGCCATTGCTGGAGACAGGCTGCAGAGGGATGGACTATTGATTTGATTCTCCACTTTAATATCCGTTCTCCAACTGACTTTTCCTTCATGATGTCATACGAATAATGGAAGGCAGAACATTTTTCCCGAGCCAGATAAGTGCTCCTTTCTCTCTATTAAGAGTTTGGAATACCTCGTTTGCTATCGCACTTGGGAAGATACAGCACAAATAACCGAAATCTAATCAAGATTTTCCCTAATTTCCAAAAAGGCTGCTGCAGAGTTCAGCTGCCTTTTTTATTGATTGTGGTAGTAAACACAGACGCCACTTACCATGAAGACGTTTTTACATAGGCAAGGCTATTAGAATGATTTATAACGCTATTGTCTTAAACTGCAATTTTGCTGAAAGCAACAGGAGCAAATTGTGTGCATCATGGGTAGCTTGGGTTTGCTCCTAGTTTGTAAGAGCCATTATTTTAGTCCTCTAATCATTAAGATTTATGTTACATAGGCGAGAAGTACTGTAGGTATATCACTTATCCAAGTGTTTTTCAGAACAAAAATGAAGCATTATATATCCAGCCACTTACAGGAGATGCCCTAATACCGTGACGATGAATACAGTAGAAGTAGAGCAGAACTGTGTCAATAACTGTAAATATACCCTGCAATTCTTTCTTTTAAAATGTCAGGTTTGTGGAAAATCTGTTGGTTACTCGTGCTGACTTTCTCCACCTATTTGATAAATCACCTTAAAAGTAAGATAAGCATATAAAAAATCATTCTTGGTGTGCCTTCTGCAGTCCAGTGGTGCCCCAAGACTTACAGCTAATGAGGAATACAGCTGTTGAGAAACATTTTGCAGCAGTCTGAGAGCAATGGAAAATCACGGAGACCTGGGCTCCTAAGCTGATGCTCCCCAGCAGCTCAAGTGGGGTGAGTCAGGGGCCAAGTATATTTGAGGTTCTTCTGAAAATAGGGCCTATACTCCCCAGTCCCTAAGGTGCTTTACTGCTTTATAGGCAGCCTGTGCATACAGCCATAGGTCGTGCCCTCTGAAAAGGTATGCCAAAGCTCTGCCAGGAGGCTTAGACCCACTTTTCTGATAGACATGTGAAGTTTCCACCTGAATTTGCACACAGATGATATATACGGTGTGTTCCCTTTCACAAGGCTATGGTTTCCAAAGGGTCTGGAGGCCAAGAAAAGCAGAGGTTAGAGAGGACATTTACTCCAAGCAACTGAGTGGGACAGGTGTTCACACCTTAAAGTAATGAGCTCATTTCTCTTGAATTCATTGCAACAAGAAGAAAAAAAATCCCTCTCCCAACCTAAAATGATTTTTGAATGTCCAAATAATGCATTAGGCATGTCTTAATGGTGTATCATATATGTGTCCCAAGTCTCCTAATTCTGGAGGTTTTATAAGACCTTTCAGTGTGTGCCACCAGCTGCTTGCTCACAGCAGGCAAGAGTCAGTGCTCGGAGCTGTTGCACACACTGCAGTTATTGGTCTCCAGTAAACTTCAAACAGAGCGAAGCCATTCAACCAGGTAAATCATCATATCCAGTCCCTATTACAAAGGACTGATAATTGCACTTCTGAAAACTGTTTTATACTGCCTTTTAGTCATCCCCCTCAAACGTCGTGGCAATGTTAGTCATAAACTACACCTTCAACATGAACAGGATGTTTTATCTATCTGCCTGCCCACCTTCCTTTAATACTACTTCCCCAGTCTGCCGCAGTTACGTTTTGTCCTGGTGGCCTGAGGGTTGACTGCTGGATGTGAGACCGGTTCACTTGCTGGCCAGAAATGTTAATTTTCACACAGGCTTCACACAGACCTTTCCAATCCTGAATCATTCTTCTTTTCCTTGATGCGAGGTTAAAAAATAGAGAGCTTTACTCTTGAGTATAGTGCACGGTGTTTGGAAGAAAACGCCAGCTTCCATCAGTCAGACTTCCCGGACAGGCAGCCGGCAATGGCTAGCAGGCAATGGGCCAGGCAGATGTGCGGGGAGGCCGGTTTGTATTTCCACAGGCAGGAGTGTTCCCACCACAGAGGCACGAAAGGGTTAGGACTTTCAGCGGTGAACCGGAGTGCAGCTATTACCTCTTGTGCAAAGAAAAGGGTTCTCGTCTTCACAGGCTTTGCCGTGTCTAACTGCTGGTAGGGGCTGAATTTTTGACAGGGAACAACTGCTCAGCTGTATTTTTAGAATTTTTTAGATTTTTAGATCCCTTCTGTTGTCCATCACAGCACTGTTATGGTTTGTAGGACTGTCGGAGAAGAACCACGCAAATTCCTGCACACATACTGTCATTTTATGCTCCCTCCTGTCTTGTTCCTTCTATCTGCTTTAAACCAGCAGGATGGGAGGTGGGGGAAATATAACATTTTCTTTTGTTGTCTCCAAGTGTTTAAGGAATGACAGACATCATTTTTTCATTTAAATGATTGCTCTTTGCCAACACAACACAAGCAAACACATAAAGTAACACAACAGCTTATCACAGTGCGCTGCAGAGCACAAGGGCAGCCACTTGGGAGTGGAGGCAGAGAGGTGCCAGGGGAAAACCTGTCCATGCTTTCCTTCAGAGGGGGAAGACATAATGGTGCCTGGAAAACAGAGAGAGTCACTATCAGTCTTTTTATATCATAGTTAATGCTATATTTAGCGCATAGCCATTCTGGCAAGCGGAGGTCTAACGAAAGACGAAGCTGATGGAGAGCGATGGCTGGCAGCACAGCACAGGGAGCTGCGCTGCTGGGAGCGGCAGCCCCCAGTGAGCCGAGTGATGGAGGGGTGCAGAGAGGGGCACTGTTTGGGCAATGCCATGCAGAAATCGGGTGCATGACAGTGGCCCAAGGGAATGCATAAGATAGATAGATAGATATAAAACTGTTTCTCCATGCCATTTAAAGATGTGGTGGGGCAGAGGGATTGTTCCTAGGGTTGCAGTTTGCACCACCCCAGTGACCCTCCTGGGCAGGGAGAGGACTTGCTGAGGAGAAGGAGCACTTTTAATGCCATGGTAACACTAATTGCTCTCATGATGGGAAATGTCAGTGCTGTAATGTGAGTACCATGAACGTACAAAGCCTCATGTACTCTGGACAGACATCATGGAGAGCGCTCAATGAGTTAGGACAGATATTTAAGCTCTTCCCAAAGCATTTCCCCTCTGGCATCCTTTGCTTTTTGCATAACCCTGTGGTCTGCTCAGAGCGGTGACTGTGCCTGCCTTGGCAGAGAGCAGAACTATGTGATGGCACTCCTTTGGACAGGAATATAGCTCCAGAGCCCATCCTCGTTCCTACGTAGCAGCAGCCTCTTGCAGAAAGGCCTCTGTTCGCCAAGGGCTGGGTCTGATTCTCAGGGATATTTTGCATGCATTAACCTTCCTGTAAGAAAATAACCTTATTCTGTACTGCGTGTAGGTGGAGGAGATGATGGAAGGGAGGGAGAGCTGCTGCTGGCAAACAACCAAATCAAGACTTAAATACAAATTCTTACTTTTCCTGCTTGTGAGAAAGGCCAAATAGACTCTTTCAAAAATATATAGACCCTTCAGTACACGTGCTTGACTTAGGACTTGTCTAGGACACTTTAGGGATGGATTGTGCCTGCCTTTTGCATGGAGAGGCAGGAGTGTGTCTTGGATCTGCCTCTGGGCATCCCTGTGAGTGCTTGCCCTTGCTTCCCAGTGGGGAGAGCAGAGCTGCGTGAGGCCGGCATGGTGGGAGCGGCGGTGCCCTCCCAGTCCTCCCAGGAGTGGGGACTTGTCCCCAAGCAGGGGTGCAAGTGGCACGGGTGGCAGCCAGGGCTCACCAGGGAGCACTCCCCTTGCAGGGGTAGCACGGCTCCCCCCCGACGCAGCCTGTCTTCTGCTTCTCTGATTTACCAACTTTGTCAAAATCATTGACGAAAGACCATTAAAAGGAGAGTTATGCCACTTCTAGGCTCTATGGCTTTGGCTCATTTATTTTAATTAGCTGTAACAAATTCATGATTAAACAAGGCTCGAGAGGGTGGTATCTAAATGTGGTACTCATGGCATACACAGTACCATTAACGAAACACTTCTCCACAGCTTGACTATGTTCTCCTCCATCTAGCTTGCAGCTCATTATAGCACTAGAGATAGGAAACAGAATGTAACACCTAATTAAAATGTGAGCCTGTGTCCACAGATGATTCAATAGAAATAAAGGCATTAAGCTGGCAAGAGAAGCAGGAGAGTCATCACAATAAAAACATCTCATTCAAGCAGAGTCTGGAGAAAGCTGTCCCTCTGCTTTAGTCGCCTGCATGAAGTTGGCGATAACAAGAGTGTTAGGGTCCTGATCCAGCAAAGCATTAAAAAGTAAAAACTGATAACAAATAAGTGTTGTTCTCACTAAGGATTCTGAACCCCACTGCGTAATAACAATTTTTAGCCTGCCCCATTGGTTGTCATAGAAATAGCCCGAGCAACCACCAAGCAAAACCAACCTATTTTGGTAACAGGATTATAGATAGTGTCTTCTCTTATTTTAGTTGTTCTTTTCAAAATTATACGGATGCATTCTATTGTATAAGTAGATGAGATGTCTGCAGCTATTGCAAGATGAATTTAATGTGTGTTAGGTTAAGCACATTAGAGGCATGCATAGAATTTAATGTTGTTTTAATATTGTTACTCTCCAAAATATGGAAGAAGTATAAATAGTCAGATGTGAACTTAAAATTAAGCGTACCAAAGATAAGCAAACTAATCATGTCTCCCTCTATTTGCCGCAGGTGGAGCAGTCCCCTGGTTCATCTGTTTTTCTCCAACCAGTATCTTCAGATCACAACTACTGTGCCATCCACTTCGGTGTATGGGTTTGGTGAACATGAGCACCCGTCCTTCAAACA